TTCCGACTTGTGCCGTTATGGCCGCGCCCCGTGGCCGATCTCCAGCGCTGGGGCTGGGCGGCCGAGCGCCCTTCAGCTTGAGGACTGCTGGTCAGTGTCCTTGCTGTGCACATGACAGCCCCTGGGCTGTCTCCTCATCGCATTCCGCTGTTGTGCTTTCTCTTGCCTCGCTTGGCTTTTGTCCGACCGCTGACAAACAGGGTGGGGCAGCTCTGTGTCGCGCTGCTGTGCCATGGCCATGGCCCCGCGTGGACATCGCTTCTGGATGGTGGCAGCCGTTTCTGATGTCCGTACTGATGTCATTATGAGATGGTGCCCAATTGTTCATGATGTTTTAAATATCTGTCTCAGCACTTTTGCATAGCCCCATCCTCTAATGCAGAGCCCATTTACTTTGGGTCTAAATTGAGGGGTCCATACAGGATAGAAAAAAGTATAAAGGGTGTTGGAGCCAGATTTAATACTTGGCAAGTTCTGCTCTAATGAAAGGGTGAAGATGAGCCATGGGTGACTGGAAATATCTGCCCAAGGTTTGAGAGCTGGACACATCCCAGGCAGAGGAAAGGGCAGAAGAAGGCAGCAGTGGTGGCTGAGGCAGCATGGAAACAGCAGTTTGTCTGGTGGGTTATCCACTTTACGTATGTGGCATACATTGCATGAAGTGAAGCACCCATAGGAGCTGTGACGCAAACGAATTTTGTCACGGAGACATGGATGTGGATTAAAGTGTCTATCAGAAGAAATTTCATTCTAGATTTGCAGAGTTTTAATTTAATTTCATGCAGCTGTTTATACCTACCCCACTATAACAGGAAGATAGAAAGTATTTTTCAAAGACATTGTGCATTTTTTAGAGCTCACCCTTCTTTCCTGCATGAAATACAGAACATTTCTCTTTCTGCCATTGTAGATATCTTGAATTTGCTCAGTGTTTTAGACCCACCTGCATGGGTGATAAGAATCACTTTTGTGTTTTCTTAATGCATGCAATTTAGTCTTACTATTGATTTAAAAATCATGAGTAAAAACCCATTTCCCTCTAAAAATAGGGCACATTATATGTGTTTTCAGTTGTAGTTAGGGAAAAAAATGAGAACTTTTCTCCTATGAAAACTTTGTTTCACGGGTTTTTGTTTTAAAAAGTATTACAAATATATCACATAATCTTGAATAGATATTAGACTATAGCTTTCCATAAAATGTTTTTCATTCTGAAATGTCACTTTAAATCCTAGCTTAATAAATATTTGAAAAAGTAAATTCAAGTGTTCAGAGAAGGTTTTGATTATGTAATTTATAAAATTGATACTATGAATTTACTATTATATTAAACTTTTAAAGTTTACCTTAGACATTTAAGACTTAAATGATGCCAGATTCCCAATTAAACCCAAGACAAAGGTCCTCCATAGTTTTCAATTATATTTGCATTTATCTTAGCATTGAAGTCTTGAAGCAGTCTCTCATCTAAAATTTCCATACAGGCAACTATTAATAGAACATGAAGCTGTGTTACTTCTACATTATCATATGTCCTTTTATAAAGCATGGGGTTTACTTTATTCTAGTGTTAAAGAAAACAGAAAATATAACACAATACTTTTATTTTTCTTTCTTTAATTTTGAAATGCATAAAAATGCACAAATAACACAAATTTTGTAGAATAATTGAGTGGTTTGTGTTGGAAGAGATCACCTGGTTCTAACTCCCCTGCGTTGAGCAGGGACTCCACCCATTAGACCAGGTTGCTCAAAGTTCTCTCCAGCCTGGCCCTGTCATTTTGCATTGTGTTTTGGTTGAAGAGGTGATATTGAGGTAATTAATTATTACTCTATTTTTGTCTCTTTGTTGTCTGTCAGAAACTTCCTCTTTTTCTTTCTGTCTTCTTCAGAGGCTTTTGAAGCCAGTGTTGGAGAGAAATGAACCATAATAAAATAGTATAGTGCCAGACACAAGCAAGCTTTTGTACCTCAAGCATGGTAGTCCAGTGGCCTGCTGTGATGATACTCCTGAATACTCTTGTCCACAGAGCACTGTGTTAATGGGTCAACAGTTTCTGTTGATTAGTAATCAATATTAATATTTTTGAAGTATGGTTTACTTGAAGGTCCCTTTTAAACCTAATTTATATGAACTATTTATTTTCACCAGTTGTTAACATATAGGAGATCCAGGTTAATAAAATACCTTATTATTTCAACCAGGTGTAGTAGAAGAGGAATAGTCATGAATTTCAATTCAGCTTTTCAGGTGTATTGATTATACTACCTCCCTTTCATTTGTTTTATTTACAATCACAGGAATTCTTTTTTCCCCATACCAAGTGGGACTCACAGAACAAGCTAGTTATTATTTGCTATGAAACTAAAGAAAGTAAGAGAAGTATTAGTTTTCCTTTGGTTATGGCAAAAAGTCATTCAGATAACATAAGTCATCACAAAAGCTAACCCCAAATGAACATGCTGCATGTAAGATAGTTATAGCTAGGTGTGAATATATTTGTATATAGCACATAAGACTTATGTAGATGTAGGATATTGTGGGTTTGTGACACTTTTTAATCTTTGTAGCACAATTTTGGTTTTGCCCAAAACACTGTTCTACAGCACATAGAAGATAAACAATCACTTTCAGAGCTGCATATGAAATGTAAGAAAATGTATAATAATAAAGGCACCAGGAGGCAGCTGGTTTGTAACCAAGCGAGTTGTTTTGAATGGGCAAACTCTGAAATTATGGAGATATTAACAAAGCTGTTTCCCAATTTTGCACAAGACATCTACATAAGTAAACACAGGGGCAATGTAATTTCAAAAGTTCAGTGTATATATTGGGAGTAAATATTCTCTGTGCTTTCAAAACTTTCGAAGTGCAGGCCACTTGCTAATATTAGCAAGTAAGTACAATTCAAAAGTAAAAGAAATTTGAGTTACTATGGAGAATAATAAGGCAAGTATTGTTAACCAATGATCATAGTTCATTTATTGTAATTCTTAGATCAATATAAAAATTCTTCCAATTTTTGATTTAAGAAAATAGGGGTTCTTATGAGGTACATCATTCTAACTATTATGAAAGGTCAGTACCACTTGACAATATTTTCTGTCATGTTCTCTTCCATAAGGACAAATAGCTTTCTTTTTTAGCTGACCTTTTAGAAAACAGTGGTTTTTTTTTTACTCCAGCATGCCATTTGGCTTATCCTGAGATTGGACTTTGGATGCTGGGAAAAGAAAAACAAGGAGTCACGAGTATTTCAGATAGCAATAAAGCTCATTCACCCTCGCTCAGTTTGTCATGTTTTCAAATCTGGCTTGTGATTGTATGATTGTAAAATGTAAATGTTGAGGTATGCCTTCTTTAGCTATTTCTTAAAAAACAAAAAGTATAAGATCTTTTGGCTAGGTAAGAAGGAAATATAGAGAGCAAGAAAATGGTCATTAGAGACCTCAGGAATGTTTCTTTCCAGTTTTAAACACTATTTCATCATGAAGCCAAGCATAAATCAACAAAATACAGTTCTGAAATTAAGCTAGAAATTGATAGTGAATTTGGCACTGAGACAAGGTCTCAAGCACAAATCTCCAATACACAGCCATTGAAAAAAAAAAAAAATGTGGGTAGTTCTTGTCAGGCCAAAAGAGAAATAAAGCACATTGAATCTTGTCATGAGGTAAACGATATTGTATTTGCAACAGTTGAAGATTCTTCACTGCTGTATAGATACTTGGGTTTGTGACTTTGGCAGATCCTGCAAATCCTTAAACTCCCAACAGACCAGATTCACATGTCAGGCCGCATGACAGCGCCCTGCTGATGCAGGAACTGTAGGGAGCTGCCACAGTAGGGAAAGCAAAAGCAGTTGGTAAAAGAGCAAGTCTGACGCTCATCACATGAGGCTTGACGGGCCTGCATTAGAATGAAAGACAAGCAAACAGTTCTGTCAGTTTTGGTTTTTTTTTTTTTTCACTTCTGATCCTCAGAACAGAAGATACAGTTGGTCTGTTTGCTATTAAACTTTACAACCACTAGACCTGTAACACAGAACTGAAATGCAGCCTTTCATCTTGTGGGTATAGGACCAGCATAAATCACCACAGTTTTGCTGTTGATAGAAAAGAGCATTGGATTAATCTGTCTTTGCACTTTTGTTGCCATGGCTACTGGGTCACAGCACCACAT